AAACACCTTACCGACTCTAATTTGAACATTATAATGTGCCTTACAAATTCCCCATGCATGTATTCTCTCAACATAGTGACATACTCTTCACATATACTACTTGTCTTAAGCAGGGGCGCAACTTTGGTTTTAGAAGTGGGAGGGAACATATATATATATATATATATATATATATAAAAAAATTATCGGATAAACACTCCAAACAGCCTACCCAACCGCTTGGAGGCGTCCGCATGGTCCTAAAGCACATCGTTGCCTCGTTTTGTATTAGATTCCAATTATAAAACTGGGAGGGACAAAAATGAAATTTCAGAATGTGGGGGGGAGGGGGGGCATGTCCCCCCAGTCCCCAGGGACAGTTGTGCCCCAGGTCTTAAGGGTAGAGCAGCATTATGTGTTGTTCATTTCCCACTCTGTTGACAACAGGCTTCAATGGTCGGCCTGACACTCATCTGTATACCTACCACCTGTAAGGGGGGACTCCCAGTCTGTATAAGGGGGACACCTGCTGGCTGATTGTGCTACTGCACGTTGTGCACGTTCATCTGTGATTTGATTTTGATTTTCCATTGTTGCATGCAAATAATCTCTCCTTCCTCCTGAAGTGTGTACTTGTTCACTACACCCCACAAAGTTAAAAGCATTGCATTGACGTAGGCCTGGGCTAGAGGGAATTTCCATATACCTGTAATTTCCTTTCAAACCCACGAAGGGGAGAAAGGAGAGATTATTGGGATGCATGCCCTGTAAGGTATGAGGGTTTTCCCAAAGAGGAGACGGTTTTAATCCCTCATTACCAAGTTCCAATGCTGAACACCCCCACACATGCCTTTTGGGCCTCCCAGATACTTTTCATACATGTGTTTATGAGCTTGGTTTTACTTAAGATGTTGTTTGTTTTTACTCTCTCAGTTAATTTTCTCCACGTCTGCCTTTCTCCTGTCCGAGTTATGTCTACACAGATCCTTTGTATCACAAACCCTGACTCACCAAACCCATGAAGCTTTCGAGAATCAGCCCCTATGCTGTGTGATCATCACATCCTTCCATCTGCATGTGAATCACTACTTACAAACAGACACGGCCCAAATGATTGAATAATCCTTGCACAACATCATACGAAAGAGTTGAAAAAATTTAATTAACAGTATTTTATGTTTACCGGCTTTGTGTAGCTGTATTCTTTTTTAACACCACTGTTTGTAACAGCTGTCTCTGCCAATATGAGCTGCTCAGTTGGGCACAGTGGGAGGATAGATATAGAAAAGAGGGACAGACGGGTCAAGAGATGAGATTGAGAATGAGTGAATAGTTCCCCTCAGGAAGAAGCTTAGGCTACATGTTAATCATCATCAGAAGAAAAAAAATCGGAGCATTTCCCCTTCTGCCTCATTTCTGGGTAAGATAGGCATGGTTGCCAGTAAGGACAATAGTGATTTACATCACACCAGGAAGGAGAAGGTAGGGTAAGGCATACAATAATAATGGAGAAATGTGGGTTGAAAGACACATGAAACCTAGGTCATATGATGAATGATTTCAATAAAATGGTTCCCGTCAACCACAAAATACATTTAAATCAAGAAAAGACACACAATATACAGTACCAGTCAACCATTTGGATACACCTACACATTCCAGGGTTTTTCTTTATTTTTACTATTTTCTACATTGTAGAATAATAGTGAAGACATCAAAACACATATGAATCATGTAGTAACCAAAAAAGTGTTAAACAAATCCAAATATATTGAGATTTGAGATTCTTCAAATAGCCACCCATTGCCTTGATGACAGCTTTGCACACTCTTGGCATTCTCTCAACCAGCTTCATGAGGTAGTCACCTGGAATGCATTTCAATTAACAGGTAAAGTTAATCTGTGGAATGTCTTTCCGTCTTAATACGTTTGAGCCAATCAGTTGTGTTGTGACAAGGTAGGGGGTATACAGAAAAAAACCTATTTGGTAAAAGACCAAGTCCATATTATGGCAAGAACAGCTCAAATAAGCAAAGAGAAACGACAGCCATCATTACTTTAAGACATGAAGGTCAGTCAATACGGAAAGTTTCAAAAACGTTGAAAGTTTCTTCAAGTTTCTTCCTTTCCAGTCACAAAAACCATCAAGTGCTATGATGAAACTGGCTCTCATGAGGACCGCGACAGGAATGGAAGACTCAGAGTTAACTCAGACCTGGCCTCCACAATCCCCCATCCTTAACCCAATTGAGATGGTTTGAGATAAGTCGGACAACATAGTGAAGGAAAAGCAGCCAACAAGTGCTCAGCATATGTGGTAACTCCTTCAAGACTGTTGGAAAAGCATTCCAGGTGAAGCTGGTTGAGAGAATGCCAAGAATGTGCAAAGCTGACATCAAGGCAAAGGGTGGCTATTTGAAGATTCTCAAATATAAAATATACTTTGATTTGTTAAAAAAAAATGGTATACTGCATGATTACATATATGATATTTCATAGTTGTGATGTCTTCACTATTATTCTACAATGTAAAAAATTGTAAAAATAAAGAAAAACCCTTGAATGAGTAGGTGTGTCCAAACTTTTGACTGGTAGTGTACATACAGTGGGGGAAAAAAGTATTTAGTCAGCCACCAATTGTGCAAGTTCTCCCACTTAAAAAGATGAGAGAGGCCTGTAATTTTCATCATAGGTACTGTACACGTCAACTATGAAAGATAAAATGAGAAAAAAAATCCAGAAAATCACATTGTAGGATTTTTAATGAATTTATTTGCAAATTATGGTGGAAAATAAGTATTTGGTCAATAACAAAAGTTTCTCAATACTTTGTTATATACCCTTTGTTGGCAATGACACAGGTCAAAAGTTTTCTGTAAGTCTTCACAAAGTTTTCACACACTGTTGCTGGTATTTTGGCCCATTCCTCCATGCAGATCTCCTCTAGAGCAGTGATGTTTTGGGGCTGTCGCTGGGCAACACGGACTTTCAACTCCCTCCAAAGATTTTCTATGGGGTTGAGATCTGGAGACTGGCTAGGCCACTCCAGGACCTTGAAATGCTTCTTACGAAGCCACTCCTTCGTTGCCCGGGGGGTGTGTTTGGGATCATGCTGAAAGACCCAGCCACGTTTCATCTTCAATGCCCTTGCTGATGGAAGGAGGTTTTCACTCAAAATATCACAATACATGGCCCCATTCATTCTTTCCTTTACACGGATCAGTCGTCCTGGACCCTTTGCAGAAAAACAGCCCCAAAGCATGATGTTTCCACCCCCATGCTTCACAGTAGGTATGTTTTTCTTTGGATGCAACTCAGCATTCTTTGTCCTCCAAACACGACGAGTTGAGTTTTTACCAAAAAGTTATATTTTGGTTTCATCTGACCATATGACATTCTCCCAATCCTCTTCTGGATCATCCAAATGCACTATAGCAAACTTCAGACGGGCCTGGACATGTACTGGCTTAAGCAGGGGGACACGTCTGGCACTGCAGGATTTGAGTCCCTGGCGGCGTAGTGTGTTACTGATGGTAGGCTTTGTTACTTTGGTCCCAGCTCTCTGCAGGTCATTCACTAGGTCCCCCCGTGTGGTTCTGGGATTTTTGCTCACCGTTCTTGTGATCATTTTGACCCCACGGGGTGAGATCTTGCGTGGAGCCCCAGATCGAGGGAGATTATCAGTGGTCTTGTATGTCTTCCATTTCCTAATAATTGCTCCCACAGTTGATTTCTTCAAACCAAGCTGCTTACCTATTGCAGATTCAGTCTTCCCAGCCTGGTGCAGGTCTACAATTTTGTTTCTGGTGTCCTTTGACAGCTCTTTGGTCTTGGCCATAGTGGAGTTTGGAGTGTTACTGTTTGAGGTTGTGGACAGGTGTCTTTTATACTGATAACAAGTTCAAACAGGTGCCATTAATACAGGTAACGAGTGGAGGACAGAGGAGCCTCTTAAAGAAGAAGTTACAGGTCTGTGAGAGCCAGAAATCTTGCTTGTTTGTAGGTGACTAAATACTTATTTTCCACCATAATTTGCAAATAAATTCATTAAAAATCCTACAATGCGGTTTTCAGGAAAAAAAATTCTCAATTTGTCTGTCATAGTTGACGTGTACCTATGATGAAATTTACAGGCCTCTCTCATCTTTTTAAGTGGGAGAACTTGCACAATTGGTGGCTGACTAAATACTTTTTTCCCCACTGTATAGACTGTTTTGACTGTGTTGACTGCTTGAGTACATTGTATACCTCAGGTATAACTCCTCTATCATTTTTAATAGGATGACCACAAAGCCACAGATCTGTATTGAAGTAAGAGTTAATTTGTTACCAGCTCGATGTTGTCTAGCAATTCAGCATGGTTCAGAACTGGATCACAGGAAAGTAGGTTATTGGGTTATGAATCCCTTACAGTATGCAATGGAGCTGTTTGTTGAAATCAGAGAAAAGTGGACCTATTGTTGACCATTGACTGGAAGGAAGGAAATGTTGAGAATCCAGTACAACGAAACTGCCAGATTCGTTACTGCACTGGCACAATTCAAACATTTACAGGAAGTTCACCCATGTACCACATATATCCTGAGGGGTGGGGGGACATTATATCAAGCTTTTAGCAATATGATTGTCAAATCCCCTAGTGAGGAGGGTTTTGCAAAAGAGGAGTTATGGTATAACAAAGTGACGTATGCATTCCTGGGTTATGAGGCATATGTCCTCTGGCTCAGAGAGCAGGAACTGGAACTCCGACTTATTCAACAGACTCTTAATTATTCCGTCAAAACAAGATGACAGGACTGGCCCACGCCCTCACCCGAAGGCAACTCATTACACACATCAGGTGTTTTTGTTTAAAGGTGTGTGTGTGTGCGAGCGTGTGAGCGTGTGCGCGTGTGTATGTGTGTTTGTCAGTCTGTGCTCATGTGTCTGTTCTTGTGTGTCTGTGTGTATTTGCGTGTTGTTGTTTTTTCATACATTCATGAATGAGAGGTAGAATAACATAAAAAGAGACTGCTAGAGCTACATAGATCCACCAAATCAGGACAGGTAGTTTGTGGGAGGAGAGAGAGAGAGGAAATACGCAGGTAGAGAGAGCAAGGCATAAGGTGTCCTATCACAGATAATAGTTTGGTGTTGTTTTGTTAGCAGGGGCTGGGTCACTCACAACAAATCCAAGTGGATTTCAGCAGCACCGATACACACAGAAACACACCGGCGGTCATTAATACAGCAGAAGACTTTTACAGCAGTAGGACAAGTTAGGCAGCCCGCATGATAGATCAAGTTTCACTGCCTGTGAATTGAGGGACAAAGAACAGGGTACGCGAAGGGAGAGAGAGAAAGAGAGAGACAGAAGGAAGAGAGAATAACCATACGTACTGGCACAGAGTTGTGAGAGGGAGAACTTTAGAAGTAGAGGGAGAGAAGGCACAAGACGAGGGGAAGGGAGAGACTGTTGAAGGGAGTTCTACTTGCTCCAGAGACTGAAGGACAGTGCATCCTCTGTACCCTGTGACCTGTGAGTCTGGGCCAGCTGAGAGGAGACTTCAGCACCATGAGTGTGAGTAGAGATGGAGACTACAGTCTGGGAAAATAGGGGATCAGGCTAATCACCTGTGGAGTAGTATTGATCACCTGTCACTCAGCTTTTACTGTGGACTCGTAGAGTAGTGGTTTACAGGTTCACAGTGATGAGACTTTAGAGAAAACATATGGGATAACATGGCTGTGTGTACCTGTATATAAATGTACGGTCTGTGTGTTTAGTGAACAATTGTTATATATGCAAATAGTTCCTTGCAAAGCAAGTGATCCTCAGGTGCATTTTAAAGTATTACCATGTTAAAGTATTACTGCCTCATTTTAAGGTGTCTATGCTGACAATATCTAATTTCTTGTGAGATCTACAGTGCATTCGGAAAGTATTCAGACCCCTTGACTTTTTCCACATTTTGTTATGTTACAGCCTTATACTAAAATGGATGAAATCGTTTTTTCCCCCTCATTAATCTGCATACAATACCCCATAATGACAAATCAAAAATTGGTTATGACTTTTTGCAAATTTCCGTCTGGACACTCTACCATAAAGGCCTGATTGGTGGAGTGCTGCAGAGATGGTTGTCCTTCTGGAAGGTTCTCCCATCTCCACAGAGGAACTCTGGAGCTCTGTCTCCCTGACCAAGGCCCTTCTCCCCCGATTGCTCAATTTGGCCGGGCGGCCAGCTCTAGGAAGAGTCTGGGTGGTTCCAATTTTCTTCCATTTAAGAATGATGGAGGCCACTGTGTTCTTGGGGACCTTCAATGCTGCAGAAATGTGTTGGTACCCTTCCCCAGATCTGTGCCTCGACACAATCCTGTCTCGGAGCTCTACGGACAATTCCTTCGACCTCATGGCTTGGTTTTTGCTCTGACATGCACTGTCAACTGTGGAACCTTATATAGACAGGTGTGTGCCTTTCCAAATCATGTCCAATCAATTGATTTTACCACAGGTGGACTCCAATCAAGTTGTAGAAAAATCTGAAGGATGATGAATGGAAACAGGATGCAACTGAGCTCAATTTCGAGTCTCATAGCAAAGGGTCTGAATACTCATGTAAATAAGGTATTTCTGTTTGTTATTTTTAATAAATGTGCGAACATTTCAAAAAACCTGTTTTCGCTTTGTCATTATGGGGTATTGTGTGTAGATTGATGAGGGAAAAAATGTATTGAATCCATTTTAGAATAAGGCTGTAACGTAACAAAATGTGGAAAAAGTCAAGGGGTCTGAATACTTTACGAATGCACTGCATATGTGTGAAATAGACATATATTAGGGTTTTTGTGATTGTACACATCTGTAGTTTTTGTAGTCAGCCTGCAGCTTTATGGATCTTGGTGCCAGAAAGGCTAAGTGATCAGTGATCAGTTTGTGTAGGAAACTGGTGTGCGTTTGTGTGTGAATGCCTATGTGTGCGCATGAATGTGTCTGTGTTGTTGGAGATCCCTGCCTTTGATTAAAACTCACGTGTAGCGTTTAAAATACAATCCACAAAGGAGAGAGAGCACCTTTTTATGCACAAAAGCGAAACATGCCAAGTGATTTTATCGGTTAAACCTTCTGTGACCCAGCTCTGCTTCCCAAGGTGCTTCCTCAATGCAAACTGGGTCTAGTCCCATTGTTCACTCTCCTGCATGGGCCAAATGGGCCAAACTACCTGAACACACCTCTGTCTCGCTCCCTCACACATGCATATACATCTGCATACATCTGTCTCTCTCTCTCTCTCTCTCTCTCTCTCTCTGTCTCTTTCTGTCTCTGTCTCGCTCTGCGTATTTGTCTCTCTCTCTCTGGGATTTTATTCCACCCCCCTTGTAAATGAATACCAACTGTCTGTCAAAGTGAATTCTTGCACTGAGGTCATCATTGACATAGATTGTGTGATTCAGGTTCGGGTTGTGTCTCTGCCATTATAAAATGTTGTTTTTAGATATCTTGTTGCAATGTAGGCGATCCTCAAGTAATATATTTGAGCAAATGAATGTGTGCGGCCTGCAGTTAGTGACCTTTTATTTATTTACTTCACCTTTATTTAACCAGGTAAGCCAGTTGAGAACAAGTTCTCATTTACAACTGCGACCTGGCCAAGATAAAGCAAAGCAGTGCGGAAAAACAACAACAACACAGAGTTACATATGGGATAAACAAAACGTACAGTCAAAAACACAATAGAAAATCCATATACAGTGTGTGCAAATGTAGTAAGTTATGGAGGTAAGGCAATAAATAGGCCATAGTGCAAAATGATTACAATTTAGTATTAACACTGGAGTGATAGATGTGCAAAAGATGATGTGCAAATAGAGATACTGGGGTGCAAATTAGCAAAATAAATAACAATATGGGGATGAGGTAGTTGGGTGGGCTAATTACAGATGGGCTATGTACAGGTGCAGTGATCAGTAAGCTGCTCTGACAGCTGATGCTTAAAGTTAGTGAGGGAGATAAGTGTCTCCAGCTTCAGAGATTTTTGCAGTTCGTTCCAGTCATTGGCAGCAGAGAACTGGAAGGAATTACCTATAATTTATATGTGGTCTACAACTCACTAGGAGTCTCTATTTTCGATAGTTTGCCATGTACTGTATATTGCTGGTCACCTTTGATGAAACCTCCAGGACTGCCGCACAGAACAACTGCCGCGCAGAGAGGCAACCGATTTAACTTTACTGAGTTCGCACAATAGTATAGATTCACTTTTTTTTCTGTGATCGAATCAACATTATATCAGCCCCTTTTCAATGCAACATACCAGAATAAATCGAACTATGCAAGATTGAGTCTGTGATTTTGTTGCAGGCAGAGCCAGAGCGCAACGGAGTAGAATTATATTGGCGGGTGTAGTCCAGGAGCGGTCTTTCAATCACCCGCGATTGAATGCGTTTTTCAGATCAGACCGCAGAGCCGCTCGTGTGCATGTTTGTTGATATTCTTTGCGAGTTATTAGCCCAGTTATAGATAATTGTAGGTCCGCAATGGAGAGTTACTGCTTCCTACAAGAGCACAAAACGTGTAGGCTACCTGTCAAGCTGTATTTGAAAAGCCAGTCAGGTAAAAAGCTTATGTCTTGCTTTTTGCCCAAGCACTACACAGCTGATTCAAATAATCAAAGCTTGATGATGATTTGGGTGGGGGGTAGGGCCGAGTTAGGGAAACCCTGCAATAGAGAACCAGTCCTCCCCTCCCCAGGTCACTAAAGGTATGTGACTTGTGTCAAACCTTATCTCTAAGCCCAGCTCCCAACGACTCAGCAACAGGGCGTCTTTAATGGTTTAGGATTGTAGTCAGTTAAATGTACAGTGTGTATATATATCTCACTTCTCTTTTTCTCCTAAGTTGTGGTTGTTTTGCTGTTCTTCTCCTCTATGTTGGTAGATCCCTTTGTTTTAGTTTCCAAATTAGACCAGACTGTCTCTATGGAGAATAGACAGGAATACTTGATGCAGATGAAGGGATTTCACTGGAAACTGAATTGAAAATAGCAGACATTGTGTGTGTATATATATATATATTTTTTTTTTAAATACCACTTGAGAATGGCTCACTACCATGCTGCTTGATGTCAACACATACAGATAAAACACTAAAACAAACCTTCTTTGATTTTGGGTTATATTTAACGAACCTTAAAACCTGTTTTGTTTCTCAAATGGTAAATCTTTAAACAAAAGCACTGAGAACTTTAACTACAAAAGACCAACAGCAGGTAAGAACTGTCTGTATTTACCCAGCCACTAAGAGCCCTGTCCATCACTATAGCCACCACCTGTCTCTCCATACAGTATAACCCTCCATATCTGCGTGATAGTGTATTGTATGGTGTTGTCCATATTAGGACAGCCTCAGTCTCAGCAGGACTTGGGTTCACTGTTGCTGAGTGTGTCAGGAAGGACCAGATGACAGTCCGTAGACTGTACATGTGATGTTTTAGTGTGGTGACAGATTTGTACAGTATTTGTGGACCAGTTGGAGAGATTGGACAAAATAGCCAATACTGTAGATACCTAACAGACTGTTTGAGACACCAGTCATTGGTATTTTGATATGTTGTTGTTTTCGGTCGTGATGGCTGTTTCACCAGTGAGCAGGTTTCATTCACTGAGGCAATGACTTATGACTCATGACAGTTAATATGGCAGGTACTTGTGCTGCGGTACACCTGAATGATTCTACAATCATGAACACATTGTCATATAGAGAACAGTTAACCAAGCATATATTCTATTAAACAATAGATATATAAAGCTGGGGCAGAGTTGTCAGTTACATAACTTGAATTAAGTGATTTATAGCGTCACTGATTAGAATACTGTATAACATGCTCCACCATTCAAGATCTATTGTCTTTTAATGGAGTGGAACTGAACAGCATGAAGCAACTACATTTAGAGCAGAGAACCACACCCACACCTGAGCCTGTGTCATATGACTATCTCGGTCTCTGTGTCGGACGGGCCTGGGAATTGTGCCCACAGCACTAGGAATTACAGTCAAACACAACTTTGTGATGGGAGGCACACTGTGTTTCGTGTGTGTATCCTGATCCAATCTGTCATGCCGCCCTCTCTAGACCCTAGAACCTCACACTCTTTTACACACTGTCCCACATTCTGCACTGAGCACATTACGATCCACTTTGTCTCATTCTGTCTTCTCTCTCCAGACTGACACCTGGCTTGCTGAAGAAAGCAATATACCATTAAATCCTAGACAACAAGGTAAGCATTGTAGTGGAATTGATTCATTTTGCAATCATATTGCACAAGTATTGCATAATATCCAATATTATACTGTCCAATTCTGCTTTAGTTGCATGTGTCTACGTTTTAAATAGGTCCAAAATCCTGATTGTTCTGTCTCTATCTTCTTTTCCCTCAGTTGAAGTCCGGCCTGGTAAAAAACGAAAGCCCATGACGGCTCCGAACTCCCAGAAAGAGAAGTCCTCATCGACGAAGTGGGTCCTGATCACTGTGTTGATGGTACTGGTAACGCTGGGGATCCTGGTCACAGCTGGCTTCTTCAGTGAGTCCAGCTTCAACATCCATCATCGTTGCGTCCCAAATGGCACCCTATTCCCTACATAGTGCACTACTTTTGAACAGGGCCCATAAGGATCAAGAGTAGTGCAGTCAAACGTAGTGCACTATGTAGAGAATAGGGTGCCGTTTGGGACGCAACCCATCTCTACACCTTCTCCTCCCCTTAGCTAACACAATACACACTAGTACTTATCCCCCTGTACAAATGCTCAATGAGTCACAATGAAACCGTAGCAACATTATTGAATTTGTTTCCACAAAACTTTTTTGAATGTTTTATTTCAGTCAGCAAACAATATAATATCCTGTCCCTATCTTCTGTCTCTCCTCCTTTCATCCCCCTTCCCCCCTTTCTTTCTGTCCCCAGTCGCGCAGCTGATCAACAGTAAGTACTTCTTCTGCTCCCGGTCGGTGAAGTTCATTCCCCTGGACAAAGCGTGTGATGGGGTGGCGGACTGTTCAGGAGGAGAGGACGAGCTCACCTGTGTGGCCAAGATGACGGTCAACACTACCTTCTCAGGTAAACACACACACACATACACATGCACAAACACACAGAAAGGCACACACCACTCCATCTATAAATCTTTATACATCTGTCTCTGTGTCACTTCTATATGTTTAATCTCATTCTTACTTTCTCCTCTCTCTCTCTCTCTCTGTGTGTGTGCGCAGTGCGTCTGGTCTCTGAGCAGAGTGTTCTCCAGATCTACAGTGCTGGGACAGGATGGAGGAGTGTGTGTGGTGAGGACTGGACCCAGCAGCACACAGAGAAAGCCTGTCAACAGCTGGGCTACACCTAGTGGGTCTCCTCCCTCCCTAACTCACTCACCACTGAGCAACTTAAATACAGATTCCCCTTTACATTATTCAGTTTCTCTTAAATGTCTTGAAAATGTCTCTCTGTCTCCACTCGTTCCCACAGTAAACCCATCAGTAGTAGTATTTCAGTGCGGAACTTGTCCTCGTCCCTGAAGACAGGACCGTTCTCAGGGGTCAGGGTCGCAGCCGAAACCACCCCCATTTACCAGACTGTCATTGACCGGTAAGCATTAGAATATGGGTTATATTGAGCCTGTTACTGTCTACTGTGTTCTGATATTCACTCTGACACTTTCCAGCTATGAGATCTAGTTTCAACAGAAAGGTGAACGGATCAGTAAAAAAATTACACAGTGCCTTGGTATCAAATATGGTTGGATATGATCTTGATCAGTGCAGTAAATGGAGAATTGAATCAAGTCTAAATAAATGTTCCCCACTTTGGGTACTTCTGTCTGTACTTGACTTATGGTACTTGTCTTATTTTTTATGTTTTATTGTAAATAGTAATTTGTTCTTAATTGACCTGCCTTAAATAAAAATAAATAAATAAATGACTATGTTGACCATGCAGCTTTGTCTGCATCACTGTCACACTGTTCACTATGCAGTGTTTGTGTTGGTTCACTCCCATTCCACTGCCACTGTTTGTACTAAGATGGCAGTTAAGGCTCAGGCAGTTGTGACATGGCATATAGAATGCATGACTGCCACTGATTACAGATGGGGTGGCACCGCCCTGTCTGTTTACTCTCTAAAACAGCCCAAGGCACTGGAAAAACAGATTAACCGGACTCTTTTTTATTTTCTTCTGTTTCCTTTGATCGTCTCTCACGGCTGTGTCATCTCTCTCTCTCTCTTCTCTCTCTCTCTCTCTCTCTCGATATGTGTCTCTGACTGTGTCATACTATCTGTTTTTCTGACACATACAACTTTGGAGTTTCTGTTCTTTCCCCAATCCTTTTTTTGCGTAATTAGAGGAAACAAGAAGTACAAGTATATTATATCTGACAGGCACTGAACCAACACTGAAGATGAACTCTGGAATCAGACTCTTTGTCTACCGATTATGTTTGGTAATCGTGTTTTGGGTATGTTTCTTTGCATACAGCATGTGATGTGTCTATGTACTGTGTGTATGTACTTTGTGTTGAATTCCCCTCTTTGTTTGATTCCAGCCAGGTGTGTAACTCAGAATCCGTGATCTCCCTGACCTGCTCCGGTAAGCCCTTCCCCTGCCTCTGCTACCCCACCTCACACTCTGTCACCTCCCTGTCCCCCTTTAATGGACTCCCCCACTCCTTCCCCCCGACTGCTCATTGGGAAAAGACTTGAGTGATATTCATCATCCAAGTTCTCTAGGAGTTGAGTTATACAAGAGATATAGACAGAGAGACTGAGACTGGAGAATGCAGGCAAACTGGATCCAGGCAACAAGCCACTTTGTAATGGGTCAGTACTGGCTTGAGTGTGTTACTTAACTGACAGGTAGCAACGCTAACTGCCAAAGGGCTCATTTGAGTTCGCTCCCACTGCTAATTCTACATTTACTCGTCAAACTACCTTAGTGTACAAGGCAACTCCTGAGATGCTACTTTAGTACTTTACAAAACTCTTCAGTGAAACTAAACTGTCTTTCCCCTGTGTGTGAATCAGACTGTGGAGAGCAGGGGCAATCGGACCGTATCGTGGGGGGGGTGGAAGCGTCTATAGAACAGTGGCCATGGCAGGTGAGCCTGCAACACAACGGACAACACACCTGTGGAGGGTCACTGGTGTCACCACGCTGGGTCGTCACAGCAGCACACTGCTTCTCTGGGTCAGTACCACTGGACATCCAATACACAATATATACACTGTAGAATGTGTGAATATCTACTCTAGATATCTACAACTAGCTTAACCAGACATAAACAATCTAACTCTGACCATCCAACATGGAAAATCCCACAAAGTCTGCAATCGTATAATAGGCTTAAGCATCTGGAGATAGAGACAGAGGCCTTGCAGCTAACCCCTGTACCTCTTCCCTCTCCTGGTCCTACAGTAGTAAGGAGCTGAGTCGCTGGCGGGTTGTGTCTGGGAGGACCTACATGGGCATCCTGGGAGGCTCGTATGTAGACAAGATCATACTGAACGGAGATTACAACGCAGCCCTCAATGACTACGACATGGCCATGATGAGGCTGACCATACCCATCACTGTAGGAAGTATGTCACTTCCCCGACATGACATTTTAGCGACACACAGACTGTGGTACTGAATTTGCTGGACAATTCCAGGTTTCTCAAAGGCTAGACATAACAAAAGCCCCGCATCCACCTATTCTGGTTTTGAATGACTTACCATGTAGAACATTTCTCAGCACTCTAAAAAATGAATACTACGCACTACATAATGATATGGAAATATGTACTTGTAAAAGCAGTTCAATTCTAGGAAGAGTGAATGCATTCATGGTAGATTCTAACCTCTAGTGGCCAATTGATCAAACTGTCAATTTCAATGAGTCTTGCAACTTGGGAAATCCCTCTAGGGAAATACTGTATATTTAGATTGTAATGAGAGTAGGCTGTAATGTATTTATGAGGAAGTACATGTCAATAAAGTTCTGTTTCCTCCACCAGACTTTCGTCGGCCCGTGTGTTTGCCCCCTTTGAACCTGGGCCTGAAGGCAGGAGACCAAATGACGGTGACAGGCTGGGGCCACCTCCATGAGAAGGGTGAGCATACAGCAAACAAAACTACCCCTTCCCTTTCTCTCACCCTCTTCATCTCTATCCAACAAGCACATATACTCAAATCATTCTCACATAATGTTAATAGTTACTTTCTCCTCTTCTCCTTCTCACCCCTCTGTCACCTTTTCTCTCTCCTCAGGTAAAGCGTCTCCTGTCCTCCAGAAGGCTATCATTCCCCTTATAGACAGTGATCAGTGCTCCAGTCCCGCTGTCTACGGTGACTCAATTACTCCCAGAATGCTTTGCGCTGGTTACCTGGAGGGCAAAGTGGATGCATGTCAGGTATAAAGTGGAATGTTTGCTTTGAGAAAAACAGAAGAGAAACTAAGAAAGTGTTTGGCATGAATACATTCAATGCCTTGTCCTGTAAGAAAACAAATGGAAAGACTTTATAACACTATTGAATATTGAAAATCCACCCTCAACTTCGGCCTTTGGCATACGTGTATAGTGCGTAATTCTAGTGTACTTAATGCCATTGTTGGGTCATGTGTTGTAGGGAGACAGTGGTGGTCCTCTGGTGTACCTGTCAGGACAATGGCAGTTGGTGGGGGTGGTGAGTTGGGGGATCGGCTGTGCCAGAGAGGGTCAACCAGGGGTCTACTGTAATGTGGATGAAATGCTCAACTGGATCCACACTGTCATGGAGGTATGTATGCTTACACAGGAGCTAGGAGCTAGTGTATTTGAATAGTGTTTATTTTTACTTTGTACTATGTAGTCTAGATGTTGTATGCTGCTGCCCTGAAAACAAAGACTAATATTAGTGTATTGTACACTACAGTTGAAGTCGGAAGTTTACATACACTTAGGTTGGAGTCATTAAAACTCATTTCTCAACCACTCCACAAATGTCTTGTTAACAAACTATAGTTTTGGCATGTCGGTTAGGACATCTACTTTGTGCATGACTGTCACGGATTCTGCCGAGGCTGCCCCTCCTCCTTGCTCGGGCAGGTTTCAGCGTTCGTCGTCACCGGAGTACTAGCTGCTGCCGATCTATGTTATATGTTTCTATCTATCTTGTTATTACTCCGCCCCTATTTAACCCTGTGGCTCCCATTGTGTTCTGTGCATGTTTGTTGTTTGTTCGCCGATGTCGTGAGTGAGCGGGTTTATTCCTCACTGCGTGGAGGCCTCTTGTTACTTTACGTGGTTAAGTAAAGATACGTTTTTTCATTGAGTTCGGTGTCCTGCACCTGACTTCAGTCTACCGCATACACTGACATCGTGACAATGACACAAGTTAAATTTCCAACAATTGTTTATCGACAGATTATTTCACTTCTAATTCACTGTATCACAATTCCAGTGGGTCAGAAGTTTACATACACTAAGTTGAGTGTGCCTTTAAACAGCTTGGAAAATTCCAGAAAATGATGTCATGGCTTTAGAAGCTTCTGATAGGCTAATTTACATCATTTGAGTCAGTTGGAGGTGTACCTGTGGATGTATTTCAAGGCCTACCTTCAAACTCAGTGCCTCTTTGCTTGACATCATGGGAAAATTAAAAGAAATCAGCCAAGTCTGGTTCATCCTTGGGAGCAATTTCCAAACGCCTGAAGTTACCACGTTCATATGTACAAACAATAGTACGCAAGTATAAACACCATGGGACCACGCAGCCGTCATACCGCTCAGGAAGGAGACACGTTCTGTCTCCTAGAGATGAACGTACTTTGGTGCGAAAAGTGCAAATCAATCCCAGAATAACAGCAAAGGACCTTGTAAAGATCCTGGAGGAAACAGGTACAAAAGTATCTATATCCACAGTAAAACGAGTCCTATATTGACATAACCTGAAAGGCCGCTCAGCAAGGAAGAAGCCACTGCTCCAAAACCGCCATAAAAAAGACAGACTACGGTTTGCAGCTGCACATGGGGACAAAGATCGTACTTTTTGGAGAAATGTCCTCTGGTCTGATTAAACAAAAATAGAACTGTTTGGCAATAATGACCATCGTTATGTTTGGAGGAACACATCCCAACCGTGAAGCACGGGGGTGGCAGCATCATTCTGTGGGGGTGCTTTGCTGCAGGAGGGACTGGTGCACTTCACAAAATAGATGGCATCATGAGGAAGGAAAATTATGTGGATATATTGAAGCAACATCTCAAGACATCAGTCAGGAAGTTAAAGCTTGGTCGCAAATGGGTGTTCCAAATGGACAATGACCCCGAGCATACTTCCAAAGCTGTGGCAAAATGGCTTAAGGACAACAAAGTCAAGGTATTGGAGTGGCCATCACAAAGCCCTGACCTCAATCCTATAGAAAATGTGTGGGCAGAACTGAAAAAGCATGTGCGAGCAAGGAGGCCTACAAACCTGACTCAGTTACACCAGCTCTGTCAGGAGGAATGGGCCAATATTCACCCAACTTAGTGGGAAGCTTGTGGAAGGCTACCCGAGACATTTGACCCAAGTTAAACAATTTAAAGGGAATGCTACCAAATACTAATTGAGTGTATGTAAACTTCTGACCCACTGGGAATGTGATGAAATAAATTATTCTTGACATTTCACATTCTTAAAATAAAGTGGTGATCCTAACTGACCTAAGACAGGGAATTTTTAGTAGGATTAAATGTCGGGAATTGTGAAAAACTGAGTTTAAATGTATTTGGCTAAGGTGTATGTAAACTTCTGACTTCAACTGTATGTCATGGTCTGACTATGTGTATTTTATTGTTCTAGAAAAACCCTTGAAGCCTCAAACCGTGACCAAAAGCCAATACTCTATTGGGTTGGGCTATCAGAATGGATTTAAGCGGATCTACATGGAGCTCTGTTAGGGGAATGTAAGAGGAATCCTCTTCAAAGTGCAATTCAAAACACCTACAACAATACATACCTCAAACAAACACACGCACATGCCCGCACACTCAGATAGGCACAAAAGTGCATAGACGCAAACATGCGGACACACACAACACTCCTTATTTACTATAACAGGTTATTTACAGTGTGGCTTGTGCCATTTTATGTATCTCTGTGACCACTTACGTGGTAGTGTAACACTGTCGCTGGAGACGACAGTTGGTATTGGGATGCGTCCCAAATGGCACCCTATTGCCTTTATAGTGCACTACTTTTGACCAGAACCCAATGGGTAAAAGTAGTGCACTATCAAGGGAATGGGGGGCCGTTTGGGATGAAGCGTGGGTTTTTCACATGGCTGAGCACTTTGAGACAGGACTCTCACCAAGTGCCTCTGCTGTCTTTTTGTCAATGAGGTTGCGAGAAAACATCCATACATGCTGTACTTGACCACGTTTATATATGTAAAGTCGTAATGTGACCACATCTTTATGTGAGTATTGAAATGCATTGCACAATGTTCAACATGTTCATCCAACTTTCCATGGGTGAAATGTCTTAATGAAAATATGTAGATAAAGTATATGTGCCATGCAGTTGAAATTCGCATTTTACCTAATGTTAAATGATCCTCAAGTATGGTGCTGTGACGTCAACCTTTCTTCATATTATATGTCAAGGGCGGGCCATTAGTCCCCTCGACTTACCATACTGTACATGCCATCATGGATTCACTTTTGCACTTTCAGGTGGTCAGACCTATTCACTGTGTGCCGACAGATTTCCAGTGTGTAATCGGAATAATCCTTACTTGCGCCAACATGCACATGTACAAGGTTCTGATTAATGACGTGTTTTTTAGAAATTGTGAACATTTAGTGTTTCTTTGTATATCTGTAAATATTGTATACTACGTAGAAATGGTTGTCTGTGTAAGATAAAAATGTGCCTGTATTGTTGGTATGTTTGATAAAGGGATGCCTATGTTCAATAAATGATCAGATTTGGGTTGGGATGAACTTTGAGTATTGTGATATCTCAGCAGGGTCTGATTGCACTGCCTAAACCCTGTATCAATGACGTGTAAGCCTGTGTCATCCAGTGGGCTATATAGGGAAGTTACAAGACAGTAGTAACAATAAAGTTAATCCATAGCCTCAGCAACAAACAGACACATCCACAACAATAACTCCTTTTATGCAAACCTTTATTTCCTGTTTATTTCCAGAGAAAAACTATTGAGTTGCATAGTTATGAGAGGTGAGAATGTTGGACATTATTACAGAAACAGACGAATAGGAGGGGGAGTTGCACATTCACTTTATACAGTGGGGAAAAAAAGTATTTAGTCAGCCACCAATTGTGCAAGTTCTCCCACTTAAAAAGATGAGAGAGGCCTGTAATTTTCATCATAGGTACACGTCAACTATGACAGACAAAAATAGATTTTTTTTCTCCAGAAAATCACATTGTAGTATTTTTAATGAATTTATTTGCAAATTATGGTGGAAAATAAGTATTTGGTCAATAACAAAAGTTTCTCAATACTTTGTTATATACCCTTTGTTGGCAATGACACAGGTCAAACGTTTTCTGTAAGTCTTCACAAGGTTTTCACACACTGTTGCTGGTATTTTGGCCCATTCCTCCATGCAGATCTCCTCTAGAGCAGTGATGTTTTTGGGCTGTCGCTGGGCAACACGGACTTTCAACTCCCTCCAAAGATTTTCTATGGGGTTGAGATCTGGAGACTGGCTAGGCCACTCCAGGACCTTGAAATGCTTCTTACGAAGCCACTCCTTCGTTGCCCGGGCGGTGTGTTTGGGATCATTGTCATGCTGAAAGACCCAGCCACGTTTCATCTTCAATGCCCTTGCTGATGGAAGGAGGTTTTCACTCAAAATCTCATGATACATGGCCCCATTCATTCTTTCCTTTACACGGATCAGTCGTCCTGGTCCCTTTGCAGAAAAACAGCCCCAAAGCATGATGTTTCCACCCCCATGCTTCACAGTAGGTATGGTGTTCTTTGGATGCAACTCAGCATTCTTTGTCCTCCAAACACGACGAGTTGAGTTTTTACCAAAAAGTTATATTTTGGTTTCATCTGACCATATGACATTCTCCCAATCCTCTTCTGGATCATCCAAATGCACTCTAGCAAACTTCAGACGGGCCTGGACATGTACTGGCTTAAGCAGGGGGACACGTCTGGCACTGCAGGATTTGAGTCCCTGGCGGCGTAGTGTGTTACTGATGGTAGGCTTTGTTACTTTGGTCCCAGCTCTCTGCAGGTCATTCACTAGGTCCCCCCGTGTGGTTCTGGGATTTTTGCTCACCGTTCTTGTGATCATTTTGACCCCACGGGGTGAGATCTTGCGTGGAGCCCCAGATCGAGGGAGATTATCAGTGGTCTTGTATGTCTTCCATTTCCTAATAATTGCTCCCACAGTTGATTTCTTAAAACCAAGCTGCTTACCTATTGCAGATTCAGTCTTCCCAGCCTGGTGCAGGTCTACAATTTTGTTTCTGGTGTCCTTTGACAGCTCTTTGGTCTTGGTCATAGTGGAGTTTGGACTGTGACTGTTTGAGGTTGTGGACAGGTGTCTTTTATACTGATAACAAGTTCAAACAGGTGCCATTAATACAGGTAACGAGTGGAGGACAGAGGAGCCTCTTAAAGAAGTTCAGGTCTGTGAGAGCCAGAAATCTTGCTTGTTTGTAGGTGACCAAATACTTATTTTCCACCATAATTTGCAAATAATTCATTAAAAATCCTACAATGTGATTTTCTGGATTTTTTTTCCTCAATTTGTCTGTCATAGTTGACGTGTACCTATGATGAAAATGTTGGCCTCTATTATCTTTTTAAGTGGGAGAACTTGCACAATTGGTGGCTGACTAAATGCTTTTTTTCCCCACTGTAGTTCTTAAACGAAGCATCGTGTTAGAGACTGAGGGGGTTGAGTTGGGTCAGTCAGTGACTGCCTCACAGTAAGTGGGTGTGTATGTTTTGGTGGGTGAGAGGGCGAGCTGTTTTCCTCTGCACGAGCCACATTAGCCCCCATGCTCAGCTTGGGCTTAACAGTGGTCGTTACAATTTAGCAAGGCATTATGGAAGTACAGCATACTTTAACCCCAATAACAAATAGCAAATGTACTGTACTTAGTCATCAGTTAGGATGATACTGCCACTTGAGCCATTCAAGCCTGGCCAGCTAGTGACTACTAACCACAGACAGTAACCCTGTGGGTGAGGCCAGTGAGGGAGTGAAAACAGCCCCTCAGAACCCTGGACAGCTCCTTGGAGTAGAGGATGATGGGCAAAAACTGTGTACACCTGTATGTGTGTGTTGTGATCCTAACAGGTTATAACCTTGATACCTATGAGCTCAGAGTAAAAGTCCTATCTATTTGATAGTAAACTGTGATGTGTGTAGCAAGAGTTGGCTACAAGTGCAAATGCACAGCCATTGTAATAAGGATTAAAATATATACTTTTCTTTTGCTTGTTTGTTTCATTTGGCCTTGGTGGGCTAAAACAGCTCACAGCCGAGCCTTTAGAAAATGAGTTTTAAAATGCAGTTTGGCCAGAGGACCTGTACTGTACTGTATAGTATACTGCAGGTTGGAGCAGGGGGTGTTCCCTGCACTGGAATGTGGGAAGCAGAGAGCAGACTTCACAAACTCTTGGCTTGGCAGTGTGAGTAGGAGTCGCTCTGGCAGTGGGCCGCAGGAAACCCATATTAGTATCAAATCAGATGATTATTACATCTGTTATATAAGAAGCAGACAATGTTAGTACTGAGTGGATATATTTCTATCCCTGTCCCTTGACTGTCATTGCAGATCTTTATATTGAATACATATACCTTGTGGCAATATAATCTACAATGCATTGTTAGCAAATTGGAGTATTCTTATTTGAACTACAGAGAATTTATAGCATGTATTAGCGTTGATTGGATTTCCCATTGTATATAAGTATTTTGATAACATTGAACGTGAGATATAGCTCTGTATCATTTTCCAGGTTTTTGCTATAATACACTGCTCAAAAAAATAAAGGGAACACTTAAACAACACATCCTATATCTGAATGAATGAAATAATATTATTAAATACTTTTTTATTTACATAGTTGAATGTGCTGACAACAAAATCACACAAAAATTATCAATGGAAATCAAATGTATCAACCCATGGAGGTCTGGATTTGGAGTCACCCTCAAAATTTAAGTGGAAAACCACACTATAGGCTGATCCAACTTTGATGTAATGTCCTTAAAACAAGTCAAAATGAGGCTCAGTAGTGTGTGTGGCCTCCACGTGCCTGTATGACCTCCCTACAACGCCTGGGCATGCTCCTGATGAGGTGGCCAACTCCTGGACAGTCTGTGGTGCAACGTGGCGTTGGTGGATGGAGCGAGACATGATGTCCCAGATGTGCTCAATTGGATTCAGGTCTGGGGAACGGGCGGTCCATAGCATCAATGCCTTCCTCTTGCAGGAACTGCTGACACACTCCAGCCACATGAGGTCTAGCATTGTCTTGCATTAGGAGGAACCCAGGGCCAACCGCACCAGCATATGGTCTCACAAGGGGTCTGAGGATCTCATCTCGGTACCTAATGGCAGTCAGGCTAACTCTGGCGAGGACATGGAGGGCTGTGCGGCCCCCAAAGAAATGCCACCCCACACCATTACTGACCCACCGCCAAACCGTTCATGCTGGAGGATGTTGCAGGCAGCAGAACGTTCTCCACGGCGTCTCCAGACTCTGTCACGTCTGTCACGTGCTCAGTGTGAACCTGCTTTCATCTGTGAAGAGCACAGGGCGCAAGTGGTGAATTTGCCAATCTTGGTGTTCTCTGGCAAATGCCAAATGTCCTGCACGGTGTTGGGCTGTAAGCACAACCCCCACCTGTGGACGTCGGGCCCTCATTCCACCCTCATGGAGTCTGTTTCTGACCGTTTGAGCAGACACATGCACATTTGTGGCCTGCTGGAGGTCATTTTGCAGGGCTCTGGCAGTGCTCCTCCTGCTCCTCCACAAAGGCGGAGGTAGCGGTCCTGCTGCTGGGTTGTTGCCCTCCTACGGCCTCCTCCACGTCTCCTGATGTACTGGCCTGTCTCCTGGTAGCGCCTCCATGCTCTGGACACTACGCTGACAGACACAGCAAACCTTCTTGCCACAGCTCGCATTGATGTGCCATCCTGGATGAGCTGCACTACCTGAGCCACTTGTGTGGGTTGTAGACTCTGTCTCATGCTACCACTAGAGTGAAAGCACCGCCAGCATTCAAAAGTGACTAAAACATCAGCCAGGAAGCATAGGAACTGAGAAGTGGTCTGTGGTCACCACCTGCAGAACCACTTCTTTATTGGGGGTGTCTTGCTAATTGCCTATAATTTCCACCTGTTGTCTATTCCATTTGCACAACATTATGTGAAATTTATTGTCAATCAGTGTTGCTTCCTAAGTGGACAGTTTGATTTCACAGAAGTGTGATTGACTTGGAGTTACATTGTGTTGTTTAAGTGTTCCCTTTATTTTTTTGAGCAGTGTAGTAAAACAGTGAATCATCATTGGATGCTTCCTGTATTACTGTGTACTGTCACAACGTGTACAAGGTATCAATACCGATGGACACATGACATAATTTGTTTCATTTCGTGGTTGTGCAAGTGTGATAAGAGTGTATCAAAGGGTGCTTAATAATACTGTGCTGTAATAATACTCATAATACTACCAGCCATGCTGTTAGTCTGTGTTGCCTGAGACGTTGGTTCACAGGGTGAGTTGTGTGGATCTGCCTCGGTGATGCAGGCTTGAGCTGATTGCAGCTTTTAGTCTATCATAACACGTGGTCCACAATGCATTACTTTGGCTATGCGACTGTCTCTAGAGCACCACTACACTGGGCATGCTCACTGCTGCACCCCGCAGCTCAGACATTCACAATCAGGCTCAGAGCTAGTGGATCTCAGCTCAGACATGGCTAGTCGACCTCAGAGCTTGTGGAACTACACATACTGAGGAGCTTGAACAGACAGTGTTCTTCTAGAGATACTGAAGCAGTGAACAGTGAAGGATAACTCTGTACTTAGTAACACACATTCTCAGATGATTAAAGTTAAAGAAGGGACAATGAATCTGCAAACAACAAGATACGAACACAGTAACTAGCCTTATGAATCATTTTCTTCATCAACATGATCCTTCTGAATACATCAACAGAGGGTTGATTATACAAAGACTGATTAGTATTGCTTTTCTCCCAGAGGCAGGCTTTGCGTGCTTTTCTCCAATGTCAAACGAGTAATGGTTCACTGACTTTACGTGGAACCAATATTGTGTGTGTATGTCTCTGTGTGTCACTGGTTTTTTACAGGGTAATACAATGGACAGGAGAGCCACCATGGACCACATCAATACAAACAGTTGGTACATCAGTGCAAAGAACAGGCAGCACGCCACCATACCCAATATCTAGGTTCATGAGCTGGTTATTGCATCATCTGTTTTACTACCACAACAGCAAATTAAAGTTTTCATTCTTATTGCTTCCATTAAACATAGGTATCTATGAATAGAAAACGGAAACTACAGTGATGGTAAATAGTGAACAAGGTGATAAGTTGCCATCTCATCCTCGGTGATTCTGCAAGAACCAGCTGAAATGTTGTTGCTACATCATGTATGTTACCTTGTGTTCTCTAAAGCTAAGACATTACATGGCGAAAGTAAGTCCAGTGCCACTAGTACGTCCATCAACTGATCCTACAGGATCGAAATCACAACCATGGGATATGGGTATGGCAGTGCTCTGTCTGAAAACATTCCCTTGCTCTCCATGTCACCAGGGCCCCTGGTAATAAAAAAAAGGTCCTGTAGGTCAAGTGATAAGAAAGACCTTTCCAAAGGTGCTAACCTCAACATGGTAAGGGAATAGAAGAGGAAGGTCTAGAATGGATTATCCCTAGACAGACTAGTTGTCCATATCTATCTATCTAATTGCCACCCACAATATGGTTATAATCAACTGGGCAACCATCACCCCCCCTGCAAAGTCTACTAGCACTCCTCTCTTTTTTCCTCACATCAACCACATTCTAGATATTCATAAGAATACTCTATATGAATAAAGTGCCTATAATACCCCTCCTAAGTCTACAGCACCACCCTCTTCCTAAACCCCTGTACATTTTATTATCTGAGGGCGAGGAGAGGTGTGGAGAGGAGATTGAGGGGCCTGTACATTTACATCTCAGATGAGTAAAACCTACGAAGTGGACATTCATTTATAGTTCTATCTCTGCAATTACAATGATACTTTATACACACATAGACGTAGAGCGGTGTGGTTGTCATTTTAAATGGCAACACTTATTTTGAACAAATATGGCTGTACAAATAACACATTTGCTTTAGAAACAGGTATGAAATGAAATAAATACATTTAAATAGATAATTTATGGCTTTGCCTAGTTTGATTGCATGATTCCCATTAACGTGGCAATATGACATTCATTCTTGAGGGGACGGAGTCATAAGGGAATGCTTTGATGAGGGACAATGGACCTTTGTAGTACTAGAGTCATTGCATTCCGCAGCTCAAACTCCTACTCCCACAGCTGTCTCTATTTTGGGGGAACAACAGTGGATATTCATGAAGAACCATGCACATCAGTAGTGGGCCTTTTCGTTCATATGGTGACTGATTTGAATACGGGACATAGGCTACACAAGGTCAAGGGGTATCGATGATGAGCCAGCTTGGTAGTTGGCATCAGAGTCATCAATACAATGTTTTGCAGTATTGAAGTTGGAGGGCATTATCCTGTAATAGGCTAATAGCCACATTAACATGTTAGTCCTATGGGGGTTTACTTCAAATTAAGTGGATGTGGATAAACTACAAGTAGCCTACATATTCACTATACATACAGGCCAGGTGAGGACAGAACACTAGACATCAGTCTTTCCTGTGGTATGGACATGTCACATATATAAACAACATTCACATGCTAAAAAAAAGCATTGGTTATTTGTTAGAAGCAGCATCATAAACGTTCATTCATTTCTATAGGGAAATGGGTTTCTAGGAATTGTCTTTACTTTAGGTCTTGGTCTTTTTATATTATCTGTGTTTTTTATAATTTTTTTGTGTTTTTTTCTGTGTGTTTTTCACAGCGGTTTTAAGGCTTCCTAAAAGCGAAGGGAGCAGGAATTAAGTACAGGCACCTGTGTTTCATCTAATGCAAACATGAATCAAACCAGTGTTGGGCTGGATCTATTATACACTCCAATGACTCCCTTCTTCCTCTTCTCCTTCATCACATTCCTTTTCTCCGCAGTGGCATTGTCCTCATAACCAGCCCACTGCTCTGCCTTCCAAAGCTTCAGAGCAGTATTTGTATTCAGTATGCAGATCTAATGAAGAGTCTTGACCTCAGTAACTGTAGCAGTTGTTGATAATAGTGGTAAACATCTTTCAGTTACTGTACATCCTATTGAATAGGCACAATTGATACTGTATGGAATTTGTTCCGCATCATCTTTAAAGGAATAAACTTTTTGTCAAAAATGGACTGTAAACGTTCACTATAGTTAAAGGAGGGAAGCTGTTTGCTCCCTGTAAAAAGTGTGCAGAGAGTACAAAGAATCTCCATCGGGCAGTAGGCTACCTTAAATATTGCTCTTAATCAAAAGAGCTGTAGAGATGGTCAGAATATATTGTGCTTTTGTAGAGTATACAATAGGGCAGTTAATAGAATTTGGCAGTGTGTGAGTTACTGTGTGTGTGTGTTTTTATGCAGGTTGACATTTATTGGGATGAATCTTGTCCTGGAGGCAGCTCTGCAGGGTGGTCACTCGCTGGCTTAGCCACAAGTCATCAAATTACATTTTAAACACAGGAGGCTGGTGGGAGGAGCTATAGGAGGATGGGCTCATTGTAATGACTGGAATTGAATTATGGAAAGGTATCAAACACATTAAACATATGGAAACCACGTTTGACTCCATTCCATTTATTCCATTCCGGCCATTAAAATGAGCCTGTCCTCCTCTAGCTCCTCCCACCAGCCTCCTCTGTTTTAAACCTAATCTTAACCCTAACCTTAACCACACTGTTAACCTTATGCCTAACCCTAAACTTAAATCTAGTGGAAACCGCTCAGCTCTGCCCCCAGGACAAGATGCATCCCAATAAACGTCAACCTGCTGTTTTTACCTAGTGTACATGAATGAGTAACTGGTGAGACATCGATGTTGATTCAAGAAATGTTCAGAAATAGGGTTTGAGAAGATTCAGTTAAATACTTCAATAAACCCCAATTTGGGTACACAATATTTTAGGGTGTGTCATTGGAGTGTGTCTGATCCAGCCCTGATCACCTATCATGTTCCCCAAATCTCTAGCACAATTTCAAATATACATTTTACATATTATTTCACATTGGTTTATGTTATACTTTTGTCATTAGATAAAGATAAAACAGTCCATTGATAATAGCTTTCTTTCTATGTCTGTTCAATATATTTGCATGTGTACATATATACATGTACAGACATATATGTACATATACATAGGTGCACATGTTTCATGCCTTTGGTGTTGCTTTGTTGTCAGCTTTGGCTGTGTTGAGTCCATTGTCTGTGTTGTCCTGTCCTGAGCTCACAAGGCACTCTTTACTGTGAGAGGAGAAAGCAAGAGAGAGAGAGAGAGAGAGAGAGAGAAGAGTCAGAGTCAGTGTGAAGAACAAAAGGCAGGTAAAGAAATGTTGATAAAGGCATGCATACCAATGTTCCATGACAGTTTCAAAGGGGGGAAGCGGTAGCTGAAGAGCTGTTGGTTCGAATTCCAGCGCTGACGGGAAACATGTGAAGGGGTGAGCTGGCAGGGTTGCTAGCATTAATATCTCAGGTGCCCTTGAGCAAGGCACTTAACTCCCAAACAGCTCAATGGGGCCACTCTGTGGCTGATCCTGTGCTGCTCCCAGCCTGTGCATGTGTGCACTATCTCTGTATCTCTGTAGCCACACACACTCAGATAATACATACTAACTGCATACTCTGCCATCACTTATACACCTGAGTTTTTAATCACTTACTTCTTCTCTGCAGACTTTCTTAGGATGAGGAGCACCACAGTTTTTGTCACCATGACAACGATGATCAAGCCAATGACTCCGCCCACGACAGACACGATGATGGTGGTTACGGTATTGTCAACCACTTTCACTGGGGAGAGGAGGTGGATAACAAGAGAGAGGGTGGAAGGGAGGGAGGAATAGAATGGTAAGAGGAAGAGAGGGTTCTGTAAGATGAGTATTCAGCTGTTTCCCTATAATCATAGTCAGGTGTACATTCTAGGAGAATATGATGAAGTAATTTGATGCAGATCTTTGACATTATGTCAAAGGTGTATCTGTAAACATTCAAGAAAAACGAACTGGCAAACATGTTTCACCAGGCAGCGAAGAGAGAGAAGGAGGGAAGAATTGAGAATGTGTTGATCAGTCTCACAACCACAGCGCTGGAAGATCGATTGATCCGCTCATGAGGAGATATGATACATTTTCATATAGCTTTTACCTCCAAGGAATTGATTCTAGTGTATGCTGTGTATACACTACGATCAACACACTCGGTTGGACAATAAATAGATAATTCTGCAACATAACACTTGACCATGGAACTGATATCAGGGTATTCTTGAGCCATTATACAATGTGGAACTTAGACACATGACAAATAAAGCAGATATTTGCCCTACTTCCACTTGAAGACATCAAAAAGACTGGTGACTGGGTGGCCTAAACTTAAAGTATGAAAATGTCGTCAATGAGTATGTCGTATGCAGTCAGGGAGTGTGCAGTGTCTTACACTCATCCACCACGAAGAGGGTAAAGATGGCACTATGGTTGCGGTTCTTCTCCTTGGGGTTCCGGGCAAAACAGGTGTACTCTCCCTCGTCCTCGAAGGTCACGTTGAACAGCAGGATGGAGATGTTGTTGTGCTTACTGCTGCCCACAAACTCTATCCGCTCGTGGTACACCTGCACCCGTGGTTCCACACCTCCTATAGGGATCACTGCCTCACACAGCTGGAGAGGGAGAGGGAGAGGGAGAGGGAGAGGGAGAGGGAGAGGGAGAGGGAGAGGGAGAGGGAGAGGGAGAGGGAGAGGGAGAGAGGGGAGGGAGAGAGGGGGGGGAGGGGAGAAGGAGAGGGAGAGGGAGAAGAGGAGGGAGAGGAAGAGGGAGAGTGGGAGGGGGAGGGGAGAGGGAGAGGGAGAGGGAGAAGAGGAGGGAGAGGAAGAGGGAGAGTGGGAGGGGGAGGGGAGAAGGAGAGGGAGAGGGAGAGGGAGAAGAGGAGGGAGAGGAAGAGGGAGAGGGGGAAAGAGGTGGACAACAGGGGTGAAGCAAGCAAGCAAGCAAGCAAGTTTATTTATATAGCACAATTCATACATCGAAGCAATTCAATGTGCTTTACAAAGATGTTTATCAAAAGTAAAGGGGAGAGATGTTGAGATATGAGTTGAATGTCACATTGTTCATTGAGGGCGTGTTAGTGAGGGAGATAACCGTGTCAGTAAGTGTCATGCCTTCGTCATGGTGCCATTGTCGTTGTAGTGCCAGTTGAAGTAGAGGTTCTTGATGCCGATGCAGCTGGAGTAGGTGCAGGGTAACAGCACCGTGCTGCCATTCATCGCCTCCATGAAGGGCACCTTCCCCACTGACACCTCCAGTGCTGAAGCACACCATACTCCTGGAAGGGACGGAGGAGGGAGGGAAGGAGAGAGAGCGAGAGAGAGAGAGTGAGATAATATTATTAGATTTGTAAGTAAACCATTTGGGATTCAATGATGTGGCACACTGGAAGACAGAAATTGAAATGCTCTACAGAGAGAGAAACAGAGAACGAGGAAGGGAAAGCGTGAGGACATCATTTGTTTTTCACCAGCAGCAGTAGCCTACATGACCGTTCTTCTCTTATCTCCAGCAATTTTTTATAGCGGCCTGGCTGTTAAATGGCTGTTACGATCATCACTTACCCAAGGAGCTGGCACTGGGGTACAACACACACACACTGTCAAACTCAACTAGCTCTTAGTCTGACGTCAGAATTAGATGTTCATCGATGTTTCTCAAAAATTCAAAGTTGTTGCAAATGTCAAATTTAAGGTTAAGTTTAGGCGTTAACTCTGATTTATTAAGTTAGAGTTAAGTTTAGGCATTAACCACGAAATCTTAAGGTTAGGCATTAACTTTGAATGTTTAAGGTAAGGGTTAAGGTTTGGGATAGGCTTAAAACAAACATCTCAAAAATAACTTTCTATTGCTGAATTTCAACTTGCAACCTTTGGAATCAGAGGCAGATGCTTACAACCATCTGCTATCCCCATCCACAATGCTCTAGCAAAACCTACTTGAAGGTAACTGTTGCCCCTAGTGGCCAGTTTCCACATCATCGCACAACGTCCTCAGACATGGATGGATGTCGAATACTGATTTGTGTCACGGGTGACCTGGCTGGTCAACCTCGGCCAATATAGACCTGCTGAGTGTTTGTGTGTGTGTATGAGTGTGTGTCCATCATGAGTCATCATGCCTCCCTAGTCAAAGCATCAGCGTGATCTCCAAAATATTTGAGTCCTTTCTATTCTACTGCATCCAAATCAAGTAGCCTATTCAAATATATTTTCAAGAGAGAGCGAGTGAAAGAGAGGGAAAGCAAAAATAGAGAAAGAGTAAGGGAATGGATGGATGTGTGTGTGTGGGAGTAGAAGGAGGAGGGACAGAGAGAGAGGGCGAGACAAAGAGAGAGCTAGAGAATGGATGAGGAAAGAGTGAAAGATAGACAGAGAGCCGGAGGAAAGAGAGACAGAGAGAAAGGGCAGGTTGTTTTCTGTCTGGTCCTGTGGGCCATGCAGTGCAGCACGCTGCAGCACGACGGGCGGTGGTATTCTCACCATGTGGCTTGGAGTCAGAGCTGAGAGGACTGCACAGGGGCTATTTTTAAATCCTCTCGTCCCATCTCAATATTTCATTCTGGGAAAGAGATAGTGAGTGTGTGTGCTGATTGTATGTGCCTGTAAACAACCCTGGTACGAGTGAGTGTGTTTTTTGACTGTAAATGACTGAAGACTATAGTACTGCAGTCCCACCAGCCTTGCACAACATGGCAATAGATCAGATCAGGAGAACCAAGCAATCCCATCAGCCAATTACCCCAGCTTAGCCTAGCCCAGCCCCTGCCTTACCATAAGCATAAATGAAATCAAACATTGCCCTTTTAAAATAAATGAAATGAGGAATCAATGAAAATAATGTGTTTGTACTTGGCCAATACTACGGTATGTTAACACACTGTGATGTGATAATAATTGCCAATAGACGGTTGGGTTGGTAGCCTGGGTACCTGTCACGCCCTGACTCTGGGGACTCATATTTGTTGAGTCAGGGTGTGTATTTTCTGTGTGGTATGTTCTATGTTGCGTTTTCTAGGTTTAGATCTAGATCGTCTAGATCTGTGTTGGCCGGTGTGGTTCCCAATCAGAGGCAGCTGTCGCTCATTGTCTCTGATTGGGGACCATACTTAGGTAGCCTATTGGCACTAGGGGGTTGTGGGATCTTGTTCCAGTTAAGGTATGTTGTGTTGTGCTGCCTTGGACTTCACGTTTCGTTTGTTGTTTTGTCGTTGTGTTTAATATTTAATAAACATGTACGCATATCACGCTGCGCCTTGGTCTGACCCGTCTGTAAGCGATCGTGACAGAAGATCCCACCAAACGAGGACCAAGCAGCGTGTTCAGGAGCAAATGGCGGGAATTCAACAGGAGGTTACATTAGTAGATGTCCTCCTCGGTTGGGGGAGAATTACGGAGGAGGAGGCCGTCCGCTACCGGAAGGCAATGAAGGAGGATGCCCAGGTAGGAGAGGAGAAACGGCGCCAACAGTGCCGACGACGGAGACCCGAGAGGCAACCCCAAGAACATTTTTTTGGGGGGGGCACACGGTGTGGACGACGAGGCAGCAGGAGGCCGTTAAAGGGCGGATCTGCAGGTTAGGAGGCAACCATGTTACGGGGGCTATTGGTTCAGAGGGAGCAGGAGTTATTCGGTCAGAGGGAGGTGCTACAGGAGGCTAAAAGGGAGAAGGAAAGTGTAGAGGCACGGCGAGAGGAGTTGGTTAGGCAGCAGAAGGAGCGGGGGTTTATAAAGGAACCCAGTCCTGCTTCTCGCACCAAGAAGTGGTGCGTGTCGCCAGTCCGGTCCGGCCCGTTCCTGCTCCCCGCACCAAGCCAGTGGTGCGTGTGTCCAGCCCGGCCCGGCCTGTTCCTGCCCCTCGCACCAAGCCAGTGGTGCGCGTCGCCAGCCCGGTCCGGCCTGTTCCTGCCCCTCGCACCAATCTAGTGGTGCATGTCGCCAGCCCGGCCCGGCCTGTTCCTGCCCCTCGCACCAAGCCAGTGGTGCACGTCGCCAGCCCGGCCCGGCCTGTTCCTGCCCCTCGCACCAAGCCAGTGGTGCGCGTCGCCAGCCCGGCCCGGCCTGTTCCTGCTCCCCGCACCAGGCCAGTGGTGCGCGTCGCCAGTCCGGTACGGCCCTTTCCTGCTCCCCGCACCAAGCCAGTGGTGCGTGTGTCCAGTCTGGCACGGCCTGTGCATGTTCAATCGGTGCCTGGTCCGGCACCGGTCAGCTGCTCCACTCCGGAGCCAGAGCAGTCCGCTCCACCGGTGCCCAGTTCAGCTCCGGTCAGCGGCTCCACTCCGGAGCCAGAGCAGTCCGCTCCACCGGTGCCTGATCCAGCTCCGGTCAGCTGCTCCACTCCGGAGCCAGAGCAGTCCGCTCCACCGGTGCCCGGTCAAGCTCCGGTCAGCGGCTCCAGTCCAGACCCAGATGTCAGGCCCTCTCCAGGTTCGGGGTCTCCCACACCAGGGTCCAGACAGGGCTTGGTACTTCGTGGGAGGAAGGAGAGGGGAAGCAGCGCGCCGAGGTCCAGACCAGATGAGGGGCGCAACAGGGAGGCGGAGAGTAAGTGGTCGTCACGCCCTGACCCGGATCCGCCTCCGAGGCGGAAAGCTCACCCGGCCCCTACCCTGTTATGTTTATGTTGTGCGGTCGGAGTCCGCACCTTTGGGGGGGGGGGGGGTACTGTCATGCCCTGACTCTGGGGACTCGTATTTGTTGAGTCAGGGTGTGTATTTTCTGTGTGGTATGTTCTATGTTGCGTTTTCTAGGTTTAGGTCTAGATCGTCTAGATCTATGTTGGCCGGTGTGGTTCCCAATCAGAGGCAGCTGTCGCTCGTTGTCTCTGATTGGGGACCATACTTAGGTAGCCTATTGGCACTAGGGGGTTGTGGGATCTTGTTCCAGTAAGGTGTGTTGTGCTGCCTTGGAATTCACGTTTCGTTTTGTTTGTTGTTTTGTCGTTGTGTTTAATATTTAATAAACATGTATGCATATCACGCTGCGCTTTGGTCTGACCCGTCTGTAAGCGATCGTGACAGTACCAGTCTGTTTCTGCTAACATTCCACTCCAAACATGGCATGAGACGGAGTGCAAGGAGTGGAATGTTAGCAGAAACAGACTGGTACCCAGGCTAGTGGGCTGGCAACGCCATGACAAAAATGCAAAAGGCTGTGTATTGTTGTTACTCTGATCGGTCGGATAGCTAGCAATAATGACTAGAAGCATGAGTGGCTTGCGAAAGTATTCACCCCCCTTGGCATTTTTCCTATTTTGTTGCCTTACAAAATGGAATTTAAATTGATTTTTTGGGGGTTTATATCATTTGGTTTACACAACAAGCTTACCAATTAAAAGATGCAAAATATTTCTTGGGGTGAAACAAACAAGAAATAAGACAAAAAAACTTGAGCGTGCATAACTATTCACCCCCCCCCACCCACCCTTACTTTATAGAGCCAACTTTTGCAGCAATTACAGCTGTAAGTCTCCTGGTATGTCTCTATAAGCTTGGCACATCTAGCAATCTTTAAGTCATACCACAGATTCTCAATTGGATTGAGGTCTGGGCTTTGACTAGGCCATTCCAATACATTTAAATGTTTCCCCTTAAACCACTCGAGTGTTGCTTTAGCAGTATGCTTAGGGTCATTGCCCTGGTGGAAGGTGAACCTCCGTCCCAGTCTCAAATCTCTGGAAGAGTGAAACAGGTTTCTCTCAAGAATTTCCCTGTATTTAGCGCCATCCATCATTCCTTCAATTCTGACCAGTTTCCCAGTCCCTGCCGATGAAAAACAGGGGGATGATGTTCTTGGGGTGATGAGAGGTGTTGGGTTTGCGCCAGACATAGCGTTTTCCTTGATGGCCAAAAAGCTCAATTCTAGTCTTATCTGACCAGAGTACCTTCTTCCATATGTTTGGGGAGTCTCCCACATGCCTTTTAGCGAACAACAAATGTGTTTGCTTATTTTTTTCTTTAACCAATGGCTTTTTTCTGACTACTCTTCCGCAAAGCCCAGCTCTGTGGAGTGTACGGCTTAAAGTGGTCCTGTGGACAGATACTCCAATCTCCGCTGTAGAGCTTTGCAGCTCCTTCAGGGTTATCTTTGGTCTCTTTGTTGCCTCTCTGATTAATGCCCTCCTTGCCTGGTCCGTCAGTTTTGGTGGGCGGCCCTCTCTTTGCAGGTTTGTTGTGGTGCCATATTCTTTCACATTTTTAATAATGGATTTAATGGTGCTCCGTGGAATGTTCAAAGTTTCGGATATTTGTTTATAACCCAACCCTGATCTGTACTTCTCCACAACTTTGTCCCTGACCTGTTTGAAGAGCTCCTTGGTCTTCATGGTGCCACTTGCTTGGTGGTGCCCCTTGCTTAGTGGTGTTGCAGACTCTGGGGCCTTTCAGAACAGGTGTATATATATACTGAGATCAGGTGACAGATCATGTGACACTTAGATTGCACACAGGTGGACTTTATTTAACTAATTATGTGACTTCTGAATGTAATTGGTTGCACCAGATCTTATTTAGGGGCTTCATTGCAAAGGGGGTGAATACATATGCACGCACCGCTTTTCTGTTATTTATTTTTTAGAATTCCTTGAAACAAGTTATTTTTTTCATTTCACTTCACCAATTTCGACTATTTTGTGTATGTCCATTACATGAAATCCAAATAAAAATATTTTAAATTACAGGTTGTAATGCAACAAAATAGGAAAAACCCCAAGGTGGATGAAGACTTTTGCAAGGCACTGTATATTTGGATTTGTTTAACACTTTTTTTGGTTACTACATGATTCTATATGTGTTATTTCATAGTTTTGATGTCTTCACTATTATTTTACAATGTAAAAAATAGTAAAAATAAAGAAAAATTAGTGAATGAGTAGGTGTGTCCAAACTTTTGACTAGTAGTGTGTATATTTTTTGCACGCTACTCCTCTTACACCATTTAAACTAGAAATGTCATTCAAACTTTAAAACGTGCAGACTGGTCTGGACTGAGTTGCTTGTATACAACTTTTGGATATATTTTATGCTTTTTAAGCTATGAAACCTTTAGTCATTTTTTTGGTCCTCCATCCACTTTCAAGGGATTTCCTCAACATTCTAAAGGCCCAATTGTGACATCATCACTTTCAACATTGCATTCACTGTAAATGCAGCAATGCAACTTTTGACGCAAATCAGCTACTTTGACCCCTTTACCAACAACTTAGACAAACATTTAGAGGGTATGACATCTTGTTCTACTTCCCTGATATTCACATCTGAAATTGGAACATAATTATCTGTTACCAATCTAACGATACAGCTGTTTTGGTAACTGCATTAACACATTGTTTTCCAACTTTTTCCAAACAATTGCCATTTTAACCACTCCCCCAACAAGTCAGACAAAGACTTAGAGCATATGAAATCTTCCTCTACCTCTATGCCTTTGAAATCTGAAAGCAGAACAGGAATAGCTTCTTCCAAACAACAGGTCAAGCTGTTTTAGTAACCCATCGACTGCTTTCATTATAGATGCAGTAAGTCATTTCAGACGCTAGCAGATTCATTACTTACCAACACCAGCTGCAAATTCCAATAAAACTACATCACATTTTGAAGGTCACTTTCCTTTCTTTGTCTAACAACACTATCATGAATCTAGCAAATAAGTTGTTTGGGTCAGAGTGCAGTATTTATTTAGTTTCATAGCACAAACTGTAGCATGTTTCAGACCACAACCACACAACTACCGACAACAACTACTGACCACAACTACATAACTACTGAACACATTTACTGACCACAACCACACAACTACTGACCACAAATACTGACCACAACCACACAACTACTGACCACAACCACACAACTACTGACCGCACAACTACTGACCACAACCACACAACTACTGACCACAACTACGAAACCACACAATTACTGACCATACTACAGACCACTCTCAATTATATGAAAGTAACATTTCTAATAACATAATGTGTGAGCAGCATTAGGTGAAAATGGATGAGAAATACTCCTACTAAACAGATGGAAAGATATACTTTCTGGAAAATGTACCTTTTAGTGTATCATATGGATATGGTTAGCTAGCTAGCTAACCAACAACTGTAACAATGAATTTGAAAGACAAGAACGTTATTTATTGGGCAAATTAATTTCTGTTTAAAAAAAATGTATTTGCAGACAGTAGTTTATGTTGTCAATAATTATTTGATTGTAAGCCAACCCCATCTGTTTTTTGCCTCATGTTTATTTTTTGTGAGGGCATCGGTTTTGTTGGTAAACAACCCACCTCTCTATTATGCACTAGGCCTTTAAGGCTGCAGTTATGGTGTGGTTGGAGGTATGTCCAATGCACAGGTTCCATCTTGCGCCAGCCCAGCCCAGTCCAGTCCCACCTAGCACAGTCCCACCTAGCCCAGTCCCACTTAGCCCACTCCCACCCAGCCCAGCCTAGCCTACTCCACCCCAGCCCAATCTCGCTCACTCCCTCCTAGCCCACTCCCACCTAGCCCACTCCCACTCAGCCCAGACTCGCTCACTCCCACCTAGCCCACTCCCACGTAGCGCACTCCCACCCAGTCCCACCTAGCCCAGACCCACCTATCCCAGCCCAGTCCCACCTACCCAGTCCCACCTATCCCAGCCCAGTCCCACCCACCCAGTCCCACCTATCCCAGCCCAGTCCCACCCAGCCCAGTCCCATCTAGCACTGTCCCACTTAGTCCAGCCAAAACTATCCCAGTCCCACCAAGGCTCTAGCATTCCCTCCCTATGCTGAGATGGAGCCTCCCATTCAGCTCCAAGGTCAGTGTTGCTGTATATAGCAAAATCATTTTCACCCTGACTGGGGGATGTGTGCCATTATGGAACACTTACTCATTAATGATGCCTATTATGATGGGAGTGTTCACATTTGAGCAGGTGTCACGGCTCTATGATCCACAGAGAGGTGATGATGATGCACAAAAATAAGATGTCTTCATGAAGAGAAGCAGGGAGGGGGGTTTGTGTGTCGAAGGATGGTGGCTGCAGTGGTGGATGGGTATGTTTGTGTGTGCACAATGTGCTTCTGCAATAGAAAATGCATTCAACTTGTTAGTGGCATTGATCTATTTCCGTTTTCTATACTGAACAAAATTATAAACGCAACATGTAAAGTGTTGGTCCCATGTTTCATGAGCTGAAATAAAAGATCCCAGAAATGTTCCATACGCAAAGAAAGCGTATTTCTCTTAAATGTTGTGAACAAATTTGTTTACAGTGAGCATTTCTCCTTCGCCAATATAATCCATCCACCTGACAGGTGTGGCATATCAAGAAGATGATTAAACAGCATGATCATTACACAGGTGCACCTTGTGCTGGGGACAATAAAAGGCCACTCTAAAATGTGCAGTTTTGTCACACAACACAGTGCCACATATGTCTCATGTTTTGAAGGAATGTGCAATTGGCATGCTGACTGCAGGAATGTCCACCAGAGCTGTTGCCAGGGAATTGAATGTTAATTTCTCTACCATAAGCCTCCTCCAAAGTCATTTTAGAGAATTTGGCAGTACGTCCAACCGGCCTCACAACCGCAGACCACGTGTAACCAAGCCAGCCCAGGACCTCCACATCCGGCTTCTTCACCTGCGGGATCGTCTGAAACCAGCTACCCCGACAGCTGATGAAACTGAGGAGTATTTCTGTCTGTAATAAAGCCCTTTTGTGGGGAAAAACTCATTCTGATTGGCTGGGCCTGGCTCCCCAGTGGGTGGACCTAGCTCCCAAGTGGGTGGGCCTATGCCCTCCCAGGACCACCCATGGCTACGCTCCTGCCCAGTCAGGTGAAATCCATAGATTAGGGCCTAATTAATTAATGGACTGATTTCCTTATATGAACTGTAACTCAGTAGAATTGTTGCATGTTGCGTTTATATTTTTGTTCAGTATAATTCATTGCAGATCAATAGACAATTTGCTGTGCCAGTGAATGGCAATACAGTCTCAAACGACAAGATATTGACTGAAAAAGGTTGTCTTAGTAAAAGAGTTTGTCCTTGGCTGTGATCGAACAGCTATTTTAAGCAACTTGCTAAGGAAAACAATTAACAATTCAACAGATCATTAATTGCACCGATTAACTGAGGCAATTACCACATTAGTGCTGATTCTTCCACTTCAATCCAAATAGTGTAGATCATTCTTTATGAATATCCCATCCGAAATATACCCCTAGCCCCTAGCTCCTACCCCCTAACCCCTAACAGCTAGTCCCTAGCCTCTAGCCACTTCAGTCCAAATAGTCTCAATCATATTTATATCACATCTGAAATCTAACCCTGTGATCTGGATTGTGTAATCAATATGGTATGAATTCCACCTAGAGGGCTAATTGGAGCTATTGGCATATAGTTTATACCCATCCAATCCGCTGTCAGACCTTGACAAATTGTTATTTTTACTTGGCCGCTGTGGCTGAGAATGACAGATGCTAGCATCAATCACACTTCAGCAAAGAGATGGAACTGACTGATGGAAGCAGACAGGTACCTGAGAGGAAGCTGGCGGATGCAAAACAAACTACGCTCCCTATTTTGTACTGCTTAAATGTAGCCTTCCCTGGTAATCTCCCTTCCCTGTTTCTAGGGCATACGGTACACACAAACACTTGCACGCATGTACACTTCCCTCTTCAGCATCGCAATATATCCCTCCCTCCCTCCCGTTCTCTCTCTCTCTCTTCTCTCTCTCTCTCTCTCTCTCTCTCTCTCTCTCTCTCTCTCTCTCTCTCTCTCTGTAATGCAGCAGAGTAATGCTGCAGCGTCTCAATATACTCTGTTTCTCTCTCTGCCTCCTTCTCTCTTGCTCTCTCGCTCTCTTACTGGCTTGACAATGTCGCTGTCTAACACTGCCCTTTCTCTCACACTGCACTCAATTTCTCTCCTTTTTGTCCCTTAACATACTCCCTACTCATCTTCTCCTCATCTTTACACAATTTATAGGCAACTGTTTTGTGGTGTTGTTGGTGTTGGCCCTCAAGGGCTCTGAGGCCACTATAAGCTGTATGATGCCAGCAGTGCTGGGCTAGCTGGGTTGGGGACAGCACGGCCGGTCAGTCGTGTGTGTGTGTCGTGGGTCCCCAGGAGGGCAGGACAAGACTAATCTCTCAGTGGTTTTAATTAAAGAACCACCCTTCTGCTCACCAGCCTCGACTGCCTGCTGCTGCCTGGCAAATATATGAACTCCCATCACTTTGTCACACATGCACAGACACAACACACACACAAACATATGACCACACACACACGCACACACACACACACAATCTTTGCCTCTAAGAGCGAGAGAGAGAGCGAGAGAGTGAGAGAGAGAGAGACAGAGAGAGAGAGAGAGACAGGCTGCCCTTGGACTGGTGTGTTGTTTATAGAGAAGGCTTGACTCCTCGTCCATTAGCCGTGACTCAGCAGACTGTTTATTCTGTTTATACAGTCAACTTGAAATTGTGGTGACACTGCTGTTATCATAGTCTGAGAGTTTTACATTACTGTTGTACAACACTGTAATATCCATTGAATGAAGAATATTTGTGTTCACCTGATACATGTTATTTGCCTTGTAGTTTAAGAGCTAGTGTCTATCGTACTGCTCATATCACGACTAAGCACATTTTCAAGCATGTGTGGTCTGTGTGATTGTGCGCCTAAATACTTAAACTTGCCTTTCTGCGTATCTGTGAGGTATTTACTTGTTTGTCCTCTAAAATACATCTGTCTAGACTAGCAACCCAACCTGGCAGCCTCCCTGCCCTCTCCTGATTCCCTTAGTGGCCCTTGTGAATGCATCACAGCTGTGATACCTCATCTCAGATTAAATCAAGAACAGCTGTCCTCGAAGCCCACCATCACTCAGAATCTCTCCCTAACTGTTCCTCCTCTCCTCACCCTGCCCTGTGCATCCCTTCATTGCATTAAAAACTCAAAGTCGGTTAATAATTCATCTGTCCTTGGTTCTCCCCTCTCCTCTAGTCTCTCCTCCTCTCGTCTCTCTCCTCTTCATGACAGGAGTGCTGACTGGGTTGTTTTTTTGGGCCCACCACACGTGTCTCTACAGGCTGGGTCAGACAATGTGGAAGGCTCTTTATTTCCACTCAAACTTGTATTAATCCCATCTTCTTTCATGGGAGCTCCTAAAGTAACTAAACTCTTGTACAATGCATCTATTTCGGTATTCTCTCCATCCCGTTCCTCTTCACATTCGTACTTCTTCTCTAAGTAAACCCTCTCTCATTCAATGTCTCTGACCCTCTCTTCCTCCATCTTCCTCTCCTCCTTTCCGTGCACGTTTACTAGTGGCTGCGAGGCCTTAGCCTGGCGCTCGGTTATCTATCTGGTCCCTTGGGCCCTCCACTTAGTGACTACAGGAGTAGGCAGCGCTATTGCATATGGAAATGCATCAGGAGGTTTTATAATGCAGTCAGACAGAAGCCTGTGAGTCACTCCATAGACCTGAGAATGAGCCTCAACCTCAGCCTGAGTGGAGCAGTGACGTACAGAAAGTACTCTCAGCTTGTGCAGCAGGGCTCTCTCTCTCTGGCCCTCTTACAGGCATACTGCTCCCTCCGCTACATCACACCAAAGCACAGTGCAGAGTGGAGGACATTGGTTTTCTTGGATCACTGTAGCTTCAGCTACACTGGAGAAAGCCAAGGAAAGACTGATTTGGAAGGTTTTTAGGAGTCAAGAAACTAATAAACATGGAAACATGCATACGTTATAGGTATCCAGTGTCATTTAAGGTCAACCCACCAACCCTCTCAAGAGAACGTGACTCACCTAAACAGCAGCACCACATAATGACATCAGACCCCCATTAGAACAGAACAGAATTTGGATTTCTCCGAAATACGCTATTTTCTTTTCCCAATATGTGCCCTCCCTTTGGGCGTTGCCACTTTGGAAAGAGTCAATCGAGGCAGTCTTGGCGGATTTGAACTATTGCCAAGTCTATCTTTAACTGCGGTCTAACTTAATCATAAACACTGAACGCGGAGCATAATGGTTTTGGAAGCCATTATAGAGATCATGTATCTAAGCATTTTTGTTGAGAGCGTCATCCACAAGTCATTATCTTTTGAAATTGTTTCCAATTCCAGTGGGAGTATGCCATACTGTATTAGCACACATGAGGCATCATTCAACTTATTTGAAAACAGGAACACACAAAAATCCAAGTCCACAATAGACCCACATACCATAGCAAGCATCCCCCAACCCAAGGGATAGGAATTCATTAAAACATCTGCCTTCAATCAACTCCTCAGCAGGGACCCTTTGGTGTATACTTTCTATGTGCTGTATTCAGGCTCTCAATGTACAGCCATAACTAATTTCCCTTGTAACCTATATGGGAAATCACTTGACGATTACTAGAACGTACCCTTCATAGAAAAATTAAAATTGACCCGCTTTAAAGGGCTTTCTGGTTAATTTGGACAGGTTTTAGGATATATCCAAGAAAAACGTTGATGCAGTCCTAGTAACTTCTTTTTCTAATCTACTTTATTCTCCCAAGGTACCTTCATTCATGAAGTCATCATACATGCCCTCATAACCTTGACATGCATAATCCTACAGTAAATGGAAATGGCCCAACCATGGACTACCACCTAGGACTTTAGTACAGCAATTCAAATCACCACTTCAGCAGGTGTGCAATACA